CGTTAGGAATGAAAAATAACTCTGTAATGTTTTTAGCACAGGGCACAGTCCTCAGTAAGCACCTGGACCTATTATTAAGTAAAACACCTACAAATTCCGTCAACTCAGGTTGACATATAAGCCAATATGTATTTAATATTTTAGGTAGGTAGTTAACATAGTCATGTACAGTTTCAGAATAGTAAAAGTAGATTGGAGAAGGGTCATTTTCTTTCTTTCTTTAATTTGCCAGTGGGTGCATGCACTCACCAGAAATAGGTAAGAGAGTGTTTTCCCAAAAGAGAGGGTGCGGAGGACAATGAGAGAACAGTGTCCTTGCAGAGTAGTTTCTCAAGCCACCAGTTCAAAATCCATGGTCTTCCATGTGGGATACACCTGCCTTAACTACCACAACCAGCTGGTCGACTCATATGTTCTTTCTTGATTTTGATTTTTAGTTTTCACCTAAACTCTAAAATACAAAGTGGATTTCAAATAAATATATGTCAAAGCTGTCTATCTTACTAATTTGAAGGAATTTAGTGTCCAGCACTAATTTATATGTGATCAAGTAATGCACACTTTATAATGAGGCATTTAATAAAGATGTTTCACCATGAACTTGGGTGTAACAGGCATATGGATATGTAACAGTAGTGGACTTTTGTAAAGTTTGTTGTTTTTTGTTTGCATCTAAGTTGTCATGTAACTCACTGAGGTGTAGTTATGTCTGCAAGTTTGAAGCCAAGAAAAGGCACTCAGATACAATGTGTACATATGAAAACACACACTTTCACATCTGCATACACACACATACACACAATGACAGCAGCCTTTGTGTTCCCTTCCTGTGACCCAGAAGCTCATGAAAATTACTTAGGGCAAATTCCCTTCTGTCAAGTGAAGCCTATAATCTCTTCAGCTTGTCCCTGGGATCATGTTTCATCTCTGTGAGTATATTCTGTGATAAATGATACTTTCCCTTGATGGAAGGAATCATTTGAAAGGGCAGCTAGCATATCATGTCTTCTCTCTTCACCTGCCTGCTATCTTCCACTGTCATCTGACCAGTCTGATATTCAGATCATCTGTGTCTAATGCTATATGCTCCTCATGCCCTGGAGAAAATATTTCCAAGTTAATAGCTTCCTGAGAAGTTGTCTCCTTTTGAGAAATAATATAAATTAGTTTCAAGGTCATATGAGAAAGAATGTGGCTTAAAACAATGAACTAACAGTGGACTGGTTACTGTTTTAATCTATTAAAGTTGCTAAAACAGGGACCAGCAGTTAGCATAATGGCTATGTCGCTGGACTCCCGTGTAGTCGAACTCGGTTCGAGTCCTCGACCCGGTGGCTTAAACTCACATCAGGTGCATGTGCGTGCTTGCCCAGGATCCTGAGAGGAGAAAGCAGAAGGGATTGTGGCATGGCCGTCCCTCTGGAGGGTGATTTCTCACTTTCTGTCTCTCTGTCTCTGTCTTTCTGGCGAGCGCACGTGCCCTATAGCAAAAAAAAAATAAATAAATAAAAAATTTAAAAAAAAAAACCTCTCAAAAAAAAAAAAAAAAAAAAACCTGATAAGACAAAATATCATAAACTGGTTAGTTTATGGTGAGACTTTGAAAGATTTGTGCATAAGAGCTGCACAGTGGTGCAGAGGTAAAATACAACAGTCTGTGAGGTACACTTACATGGGAAGAGGTTCACATCCAGAGAGCTCTCTGCCCTGAGGACACTGGACTTGCATGTGCCCACGATTTGAGCTTGCCAAAGTGGTGGGGGAGGGGGTTAGGGTCATGGCTTCAGGACCCTGTAGGATGCTGAATCTCTCTCTCTCTCTCTCTTTCTCAGAGGTAAGAATTTTTTTTTAAATAAAGTTCTTGGAATATAGATTTGAAGTATGAGTTTATTTTGGTGCCAAACAAATTTGAAATCCATGCCTAGTGCTTTTATAGTGTATATTTTCCATAAACTTCTTAAAGACCTCTTGGCATAAACAACAGCATTTTATGTCTCACAGTCCTAAAAGCAGCAAGTCCAAGATCAGAGGTCAGTTCTGGTGAGGGCTTGCTTCCAGGTTGTGGACTATGACTAGAGGAAGAACAAATACCCTTTGGCCTGTTTTACGAGGGTATTAATCCCAGGATTTTATGACCTAATAATGTCCTGAAAGGTCCCATTTCCTAATACCATCACATGGGGGATTGGATTTCAACAAGAATTTGGGGTGTACACAGTAAGACCACAGTAGTTACATTCTCTGACAATTGTTTTACTTACTTTAAATTAGTATTATGACTTTTTTAAAGGTGACCAGTTTCTTTTTCTCAGTTGGCAAAATTATTACTTGAGTTTATTGAAAAGCAAACTCTTGATGGCCAGCAGGTGGCATGGTGGTTAAGGTGCTTGATGCCACATGGGGATTGCAGTTTGAGTCCCAGACCTGGCAGCTTGAAAAATTCATTGGGCATGTGTGCGTGCATTCCCAGAATCCTATCCTGAGAAGAGAATGGAAAAGGGATTGCAGCATGGCTGTCTCCCCGAAGGGTGATTTCTCATGATTTCTCACTTTCCCTTTTGCTCTGTCTCCAAATTTCTCTGGTGAGCACACATGTCCTATGGCTAAATACAAACAAACAAACAAACAAAAAGTCTAAAATATCCTTAGAGTGTTTTAAAATGATCCCTAGCCAAGCCATGATATCATACTCTGGATACTTCTGCTTAATAAGATGAGGCCACGTAGGAGGCCTGGGTTCAGTTCCAGCCCACCCTAAAGAGTCAGGCAAAGTGGTACACACCTATAGTCCCAGTCCCAGTTACTCAGGAAGCTGAGGCAGGAGGATTGTGACACAGCAAGACCCAGAATTAGATGTCACTCACACACACACACACACACACACACACACACACACACACACACACACCAAAAAAACCTCTATGTATTTCTTTGTTTTAATTTTGCCTGAGGGCATGTGCAGTTTCTAGAGAGCGAGAGAAAAACAGAGAGAGGGGGAGGGAGAAAGAATCTTATTGTGGGGTATAGTCATCCTGCATTCTCCTCTCCATCTCTTTCTCCTGTCAGGATTTAGGGCAACCTCTCACATGCATCAAACATGTTTTTAAGTTGCCAGATCTGAGACTTGAACTACATTGTTAACCACATGGCATCTGTCTACAGTCACCATCAGGTCATGGACTAGCCCTCTATATATTTCTTAATAAAAATTTGGAATATACAGAGTATAGTACTCAGCCAGCCAGAGAGAAAAACTGTTTTCATCCACATATATTTCATCTTTGCACAAGAAATATATATTGTATACAGCATAGGTCATATGGTATTGACAATTTTATATCTTGCTTCTTTATGGTTAATATTTTTAAATATTTTAATATCTCTAAAATTTTTATTAAAGGTCAGCCCTGTGGCCTGGTGGTTAGTGGAGTTCAGATCCCACTCGTTTGACTGTGTGGTACAAATTCTGGTGGCTTGAAAAACTTAACGGTATGTGTACATTCACATTCAAAATCCCAACAGACTAGAGAGATGGAAGAGATGGAGGAGAAGGGATTGCAGCGTAACTGTGCTCCACTAGGGAGAACTTTCTTTCTTTCTCTCTCTGATAAGCGCACTTGCCCTCTGGAAAATTTCAAAAAGTCAAAACTATATATTTCCTTATAAACATTGCTTGGACATGAAAAAAATAACCATGGATTTTATTTAAGTCTACTGTATTAAGGTTTGAATTGTTTGGAGCCAGTTGGTGACATGGTAGTTAAGGTAACTCTTAAGTCCTCAACCCAGGGCCTTGAAAAATACACCAACTGCATGTGCATATGTGCCCCAAGTCCCAAGAGGAGAATGGAGGAGAAGGGATTTCCATGTCATCTCCCCAGAGGGGGGTGCTTTCTCACTTTCCTTCTCTCTCTCTATCTCTCTCTCTCTCTTCACCATGTACCCTGTAGCAAATTAAAAACATTTTTTCAGTCGTTTATTTTTTTACTGCCTAAAACAATGTTGAGACTATAACCATGAGGCACAAATAACTTACTGAAATTTAGAATTGATGATGGAAGATAAAAATTATTGGGTCAAAAATTATGGGTTTTGGGGACCAGCAGATAGCATAATGGTTACATCACTGGACTCCCATGTAGTTGGCCACAGTTCCAGTCCCAGACCTGGCAGCTTAAACTCACACTGGATGTGTATGTATGCATGCCCAAGATCCCAAGAGGAGAGTGAAGGAGAAGGGACTGTGGCATGACCATCCCTCCCAGGGGGTAATTTCCCACTTTCTGTCTCTCTCTGTCTCTGTCTCTCCAGTGAGTGCCTGAGCCCTATAGCAAAATTTTCTCTCTAAAAGAAAATAGGAAAACAAAATTATGGATTTTGACTCAACCCATACTGTTTAAAGTCTGTAGTAAGTTTTATACCACTCAAGGTGTACAAAGGTGACTTCTCAACTTGCTCATGCAGCCTAATGCATTGCAATCATTTGAGTATTCAGTTATCTTTTTTAAAAGTAGAGCTCAAGCAGCCCAATAGCACAGTGATTTAGTATTATGCATTGGGAGCCAGATCCCACACTACCGACACAGTTCTAATTCTGACCCTGGCAGCTTGAAAAACACCTGAGCTGCAATGTGCATGCATGCTCAAATCCTGAACAGATGAAAAAATGGAGGAAAATGAATTGTGTGTGACCATGGCTCACTGGGTTGTCTTCTCTTTCTATGTAGTAAGCACAAGCACTCAGGAACAATCAATCAAATAGAAGAGTGGGGCTAAAATCAAAGTAGAACACAACTTAGGAATAGGCCAGCTAGTGGAGTGGTAGTTAAGGAGGCTGGATCCCATATGGGCAACTAAGTGGTTCGTGTCCCAGACCTGGTGACTTGAAAGACATTCCAGTGCACGTGTGTATGCTCAAAATCCTGGAGGGAGAGATGGAGAAAAAGGGATTGTGGCATGGTCCATTCCCCCTGAGGAGTGCTTACTTATTTTCTCTGTTTCCTGTTTTCAGTGAGCACTTGCCCCCTGTAGCAAAATTAAAAAAAAAAAAAAAATCAACTCAAGTACTTTTCTTGTATGTAAAACTTCCAGTTAATGAGTTGAGCATGCTTTTAACCCTAATATTACCAGTAACGACAGTCTCTTCTTTTGAAGACATCTTTTCTCAGAGTGCTGTCTTGCGGACGATCGAGCCGATTACAATGCCAATGTCAGAGGGGCAGTAAATGGCGAGATGACTGATGGAGCTGTAGCTGTGTTATTAGTTCCTCTGTCCCCGAAACATCTGTGTGAGGCAGGGGGCAGACATTATTATCCTCACTTTATACTCAAAAATCCTTTATCTTCAGGACTAGAGAAGGGCAATGATACACAGTCAGTGCTGTGTCATTCACAGTCTTCTTCCTCCTTTTCTGGAAAGAACTACACCATCAGATTTTATTTATTTTTATTATACATCTATTTTTTCCATAGGGTCCAAAATGACTTTCACATCAAAGTGAAGAACTCCCCCCCCACACACACACACACACGGCTGGGCAAATTGGTGAGTAGCACTTCTAGTATGAATATTAAAGACCAATGAGATGATGGGGCCAGGAATGACCCCTGTGTAGTTTGCTGATTGCCAGGAACATCTCTTCTGAATATCTCTTGCAATGTAAGTGCTTTGAGGCAGAAGGGCAGAGTGTTTAATTCCCACTGTTCCCATAGCTCTTAGCTCATTGGTCGCTGGCATCTAGCTGTCAAGTTTTCCTCTTGAGTTTAAGAATATGGCTAAGAGCTCTGCTAGAGACTAAGTGCTTCCCCAGGAGCACAGTACTCTGCTTCCAGTGACTTGTGTGTTCCTCCTATGGGAATAGGAATTTCATGTGAGTTTAGAATCTGTGTACAGGCTCTTTCAATACATACACATTTGCTTCCTCCTTGTTTCTGATCAGTGTCTCTTCCTTCCCTGCCAGGACCAGAATCACTGTTTCTAAAATTTATTATGTGCATATCTTATCCATAGCCTTTTTATTTTGTATTTCTCTCATACCAGCTGAATTTCCTTTCTTTCTCCTTCTCTTCTTCCCTAACTCAGCCCTAAGCCAGCTGCCTCCTCCTAACTCACCAGTAGGATTCACATGCCAAACCAGGATGATGCTCAAAACATTTCACTGACTCTCTGAAACAAATCAGGGTTCTGGAGTCAGACTATGCTAATCATGAAGCCTCATAGCTGCATTGTAGGCAGTCCAAAAGGGACAGGAGGACTGTCAGGAAAGCCTAGGGAACCACTAAAGGTTTGGGGCCGGAGGCTACATAGCAAACAATGAAGAAGCCTGAAATTCCTGAAAATAAAACCGTCATTGGGACCAGGCAGTGGTGCAGTGTAATGCAACTGGACCTGCCTGGGAAAGATCCTAGATTCACGCCTTGCGTTTACATCCTGGGACCTCCCTGAGCTCACAAAGTGCACACGCGTATCTGTGATCTCAGCCCACTGGAAATTGGGGTGGACTGCAATATGAAGACTCTGTTGAAGATCTCTCCCTCTCTCTTTCAAAATAAATACATGAATAAAGTTTGAAAAATAAAAGTAAGGAACTCTTACTAGGTTGTGCTAATGTGAACTTGCTATGTGGTTGCCCTGTCTCAGAAATATCAGTGGATTATCAGCCATTTTATGAAGAAGTATTGAGGAGAATTGTAGATCCATGTCCAGCCTGGATAGGAAGGGGTTCTATAAACTTTAAGTAGGATCTGCCATTGTTTAAGGTAGACAGCAATGCTGAAGGTGCTTTGTTTACTGCCCTGTCTAGGTGCTGCCTCTAGCCAGATGCATTGCATGCTCATTCGCTCAGGACCTTATCTCTTTCCTTGCTGTGAACTTTAAAAACAGAGATGACACAATTTGAGTCATTTCCTCATCAAAATGTAGTTATTAAGAACCAATTATATTCCCATCAGGTGGTCCTTGCCTTGCCTCCAAAGGGTTGAAAACCTTAAACTCCTCTTTCCTCTCAGCATCTACACACTGAACACAGGGTCATGATTTCAGAACTTAGAATCCAAGGCCGATACACTGGTCTTGGCTCTCCCCTCTCACCTTCTTCATAGCCAACATGGCTAATGTATTGATAGCCACCTCCCCCAATGGCACACCTTCTCATCTGACTTTCCGTCATAGTTTGACATACGCTTTTTATTTTACCACCTTGATTTCTCTCCATGATTCTGGTTTCTCATTGATTTTCTAGCTTTTTTGCTTTCTTATTTTCACCATCCCTCAATTTTGTGCAGCAACACACTGCCTTCAACTCCTACAGGAACAGCTACTGTATACTATTGGCAAGACTTGATATAACTTATGAGAATTAAGGAAGAGAAATTACAGGCTAGTAAGTTCATAAATGATTTATGGCAGTACAGGAACTTGGCTGGGGCTTTGAAGAAAAGGAATCTAAGACAATTCTAAAGTAGTAAGAAAGCAGTCCAAACAGTAGTATAGTATATACAAAAGCTCAAGATGGAGACATGAAAAACAATATAGTTAATTCTAGTCTATTTCTTTGCAAGAGTTTTTCTCCATCACCGTATTTTGTGAGTTTCAAAAAACAATGACCTTCTTTGTCACGCATAGTGTTGACAACACAATAAATAGGAAATGTATATAGGTGAATGTGCTGTGAATTGAGGAAGAGTGTGATATTTGAAGGCAGTAAGACTGAACTCCAGCAGTACCACAAATTAGTTAAAGATTCTGATGACATTACTCAGTCTTCCCTGTTTTAGTGTCCTCATCTACATGGTAACCCTGATACCATAATAGAGCTATATACAGAGTGACTCCAGGGCTACTATAGGCATTGACTTTCTATTAACTAATAATACTATAATAATTTTTATTGACCTACTCTGTTCACCAGTTCACATCACAGGGTACCATAAGAAGGTCATAGTTTGTGAGTAATCTTTATCCTTTTCTATAAATGACCTTTAACAAGTACAACACTAAAGGCTTTAAAATCAGTGATTATTAATATTTTAGAAAGCACGGGACCAGCAGTTAGCGTAATGGCTATGTCGCTGGACTCCCACGTAGTCGACCGCAGTTCGCATCCCAGACCCGGTGGCTTAAAACTCACGTCAGGCATGTGTGCGTAAATGCCCAAGATCCCGAGAGAAGAATGGAGGAGAAAGATGAAGGATTGCGGCGTGGCCATCCCCCTGGGGGGTGATTTCTTGCTTTCTGTTTCTCTGCCCCATAAAAAAAAAAAAAAAAAAAAAAAAAAAAAAAAAAAAAAAAAAAAAAAAAAAAAAACCTCTCCAAAGGAAAAAAAAAAAACTTTTAGGAAGAACATACCTCTTAAAGAATAGTGAAAACTATGATCACATTTTATTTTATGTTACATTTTTGAGACATCAAAGATGTCCCAAGGTCTTTCTATAGACAATGGGCCAAAAACTGTAGGTTAAATTTTAGATGATTATAAATTTATATATAAAGTTGAATTTTATCTCTGTCTTGATGACTTCCTAATAGTCTTCTCTAGTCTTCCTTGTTGAATAATAAAAACCAGAATATATAGAAACCCGAGTCTGGATTTGTTCCCCGTGAGAACATTCGGCACATTGCCATTTCATTTTGTCAAATGTTTCTTCCATGATGTAGAAGCTTTTTAGAACAATGTGGTTTTATTTATTTATTTATTTATTTATTTACTTATTTATTTATATTGCCAGGGGGTGTATGTGTGCTCTCCAGAGACAGAGAAAGAGAAAAGAACCCCTGACAGGGTGTAGTTACACTGTGATCTTTCTTCCTCTATTCCTTCCTCATATGAAGAGTTTGGGCATGTGCACATATGTGCCCAGAATGATTTTCAAACTGTTAGGGTTAGTACTTGAAATGCTATTGACCATGTTGGATCTGGCCCCCTTAACTACTGTGCTGAGTCTGGTCCCCATTTCTTTATTTTTGTTTCGTTGCTTGTACTTTTTGTGTCATAATTCAAAAATCATTACCAAGACCAGGGGTGAGTATCTTCTCTATGTTTTCTCCTAGGAGTTGTATGGGTCCAGGCCCTTTATTTAAATCTTTAACAGATTTTGCATTAATTCTCATGAGTGGTATAAGACAGGGAATCAATTCTGTTCTTTTTATGCTAATATTTAGTTAACCTAACATGACTTATTGAAGAATCTAAGCTTCCCCTTTATGTATTCTTGGCACTTTTCTCAATTATTCCTTGACTGTGTCTGAGTCAGTCAGTTTTTATGTCAGTAGCATACTGTTTTGATAACTATAGTTTTGTAATATAGAAATAAAAAAATGTGATACCAACATTGTTCTTCTTTCTCAAGATTGCTTTGGCCTTTGAAGGTCTTTTGTGCTTCCATCTAAACTAATTTTTTTTTTCTATTTATGTGAGGAATACTATTGGAGATTTGACAGGGATTATATTGAATATATAAATCACCTTGGGTAATATGGACATTTTAACAATAATGATTTTTTTCAGCCCATGAATTCAGGATGCCATTTCATTTATTCATTTCTCTTCAATTTTCTACATCAATATCTTACAGTTCTCAGTTTACAGATCTTTCACTTTCTTGGTTTAATTTATTCTTAAGTATTTTATTCTTCTGGATGCTATTTTAGTTTTATTTCTCAGAGTTTACTATTATTGATAAAAGGTAATTTATTTTTGTATATTGATTTGTATTTTGTAACTTTGGTTGTTTTTAATAGTTATAAGTTATAATAACTTTATATAGTATATATAAATATATATATAAACT